CGCGGATGGTGGGGAAGGTGGTCAGCGTCGGGGTGGCTGCCCTCCAGATCTCCTCCAGGGTGCGGCCCCCGAAGCAGGGCTCGGGCGCCGAGAGCTTCTCCAGGCAGGACTCCTCGGGGGCCGCCGGCGGCGGCAGCAGCGGTGGCTGTGAAGGTGGAGGCGGCGGGGGCAGCCGGGGCCGCCTCCTGCCCGCGGCGGTGGCCCGGGCTCCGCGGCGCCTCCTCCTGGCGGCCGCGCGCGGGGCCGGCCGGCGCGTCAGGCCGCGGGCGGTAGGGGGCTCCGGGGGGTCAGGCACCAGGGCTCGGCAGGAGGCGTAGCCGTAGACGTCCTTGCTGCGCAGGATGTGCGGGGAGAACTGGTGCTTGAGGCTGCAGAGGAAGCTCCAGAGCTCCGCATCCGAGCTCATGAACTCCGTGCTGCGGGGCATGAACAGCTTGAAGGCATCGCCCAGCGCCTTGGTGCTGTCGGCCAGCGACAGTTGCGACCGGGAGTACACCACCTTCTCCTCCCGCGCCTCCAGCCCGGCCCCTCCTCCCGCTCTAAAGCCGCCGCCCCGGGCGGCCGCGGCCGGGGGCCGGCGCCGGCGCCTCTTCACGCTGCGCCGCATCGGAGGCCACTCGAGGCCGCCCGCGCTCGCCTGGTCTCGCTGTCGCCGCCGAGCCCGCCCGAGTCTGGCTTGGCTCGGCTGTGGTGGCCGCTGCTGGCGTCTCCAGCCCGGTGCGTCTCTCGCTACTTTTCTCGCCTCCGCCGCCCCTCCCCCTCCGAGGGCGGAGGACGCGGGTGTATATCCTGCCGCCCGGTTCAAGATGGCGGCCGGCGCCCACCCCTGGGCTTTGTCATTGGACGGCGCTTCGCCCCCCTGGTTTCTCTTTCTTCTCCTCTCTAGCCTTCTTTCGCCCTCTGCCTTTCTTTAAATGTGCCCGCCTCAGGCCCCTCCCACCACAGTCCCGACTCCACCCATTGGGTGCTCTCAGAAAAGGGGCGGGGACTGGGAGAGGCCAGTTGCTGGGAGATGGTGCCGGGGTGGCTGGTGGTTGTTGTTGGTAGTGGTGGTGGTGGTGGTCCCTGAATGCGAGTCAACAGTTGGGTGGGCGTATGATGGTTGCCATGTGTAGAGTCAGAGGTGGATGTCAGCTGTGTCTTGGGATTGAGTGGATATGCTGTTGTGGGTTGAGCTCAAAGATCTACCAGTCTGAGTAACAAAGGGAGATGTCCCTGAAGACTGACTAGTATTACAGCTAGGGAATTTGGGTTTTTGTCTAGAGAAGATGGACCTTTCACAATTTCCGTCTAAATCCTCAAAGGCTTCTATTGGCAGCTTCATTCTAAATTCTTCCCTCTCTTGACTCCAATCCATCTCAAGAAACCAGTAAACATTCAGGTAATGTGGTGGCATTGGCGAGATTGGCTCCTCTGGGCAATGGAACCATTTTGGTATTTGAGAGAGACTCTGCTAATCAGGAAAACAAAGCCTTTCATACTATGAAAACAAGAACTGTGCTCAAGTTGATCGAAGATCAATTACAACAAAGCCATTCTACTTAAAGGATATATCCTTATTTTAAACATAATAGTTCTGTCAGAATATCACTTCGTATTTCATTTGGTTTTCACATGTCTCTTTACAGCAGAATCCTTCTTTTASAAAGGATGAAACATCACATATACTCAACAAAATTTTGTTGAAAGAAACACATTTTTAATAATTCATTTCCTTTTGTATTTGAGGGGAGAGTAGTAGATGTTCTTTTGTTGTCTTCTAATAATCTCCATACTGAACTCAGTGAATGTCAGGAAGTGGGCATCAATATATTTGCTAAATGAATTAATGAAACGCCACTGATTATTTGAAATGGAATGAGAAAGAAAATATTGAAATTCCTTTGAAAAAAAATGATTTCATTATTTTACATTTATATTACCACGTTCTCAGAACTCGTAATTTTTCCCCCCAGTACTGGGGATCAAATCCAGGACCTCACAGATGCTAGACAAGTATTCGTTCTAACATTAAGCCCCACTCCGCCCCACCCTCACCCCAACCCACAAGTTTTCTTTTAAGTTTTTAAGGTTACAAAAAAAAAATCCTTATACATAGTTTTGAGCCAGATTTTACCTTTCAGTAAGCATCGTATTTTGCAGTAGACAATGAATAAGGTACAGAATTTTCATGATTTACATATAGTTTCTGATGGTTCCCTTGACTATGTAAGCCAAAAGAGACCTAGTTCTATCTCCTTATTTCACAGATGAAGAAATTTAGACCCACAGAGGTTCATTAATACAGCTTGGTGATAGAAGCACTGGGACTCCAGGTCTTTGGATTCCTAATCTGGCGGTCTTTATATTTCACTGGTGGTTTTTGTTTTTTTTTTCAAATTATGCTGCCCTAACTCTAAGGCAGATCAATAGAATATGCTTTATATACCAGTAGGGTGACCAAGGGACAGAGATCCACCCCTATTCCTACTTCCACTCCACTCAGATTTGAGCAGTTTTTAATCTGTCTTATATTGGATTTAGATAATATTTTGTTTGAAGCAGATAAACTTTTGTTAGTTTCAATAAAAACTAAAGGCAAAATAATTTGAAAGATGCTTCTCTACACCAGAACACCCTCTCCACACAGTGGGTTTTGTTTATAGCAAAAATAAAACTTGACTGCAAACCAGTTCTCTACCTCTCTACCTACCAAAATCATGGTAATTTTCTGAAGAGAAAATAATTTTCTTAGAAAAGCACACTTTGAATTATAGAGCCAACCCAGCTTCCCAACCTCTTATAAAAAATATTGCAACAACTCTTTACAGCACAATTAGTTTTCTTTGTAATTCTGAGACTATATAGTAATATGAAATTAAAATAACTTCCAATGAAATATTCCCGCAGGTTGACACAGAAAATCTCACAGAGCAAACAAGTAGAAAACTAGGGGAACTTCATGACGAAAGAAAAACAAAATTAGGTAAAATGTAGTCTGGGCTTCTTATATTGCTATTCTTACCCTTCCATGTTTTAAGCTCTTTAGGTCTTTTCAMTTAAATATGTTTAAAAACTTATAGAACTGATTTCAATTAAGGAAATTAATTTTTTCCATATAATTTTGATTCTAAGAAAACAGGATCACAACAAATTGTTAAGTATTGAGTTTATTTTGTGATGGACATTCATTGAATTTGCTTAACACTAAATAATGTTTTTATGAAATACTTTCAGGAACCAGTATCATGTTAAACTACTTAAATTACTTTTACACACTTAAATTTATCTATTTGCTCTTTTCTTTTTCCTTTCTTAATTTCTTCTTGACATCCACATTTTGGTTAGCTCGAAATAAGTATTATGAGTGGTTCTTATTCATTCTCCATAGGTGAGTAGAATTTATACATAAAACTAATATGTTTCTTCTAGTTCCTGAGACATAAAGTTTAAGCAAAGTTGATAAATTTTCATGCCTGAGGAATGACGATTTATAATCCTCAGTGTATCCTTTACCTCTCAAAGATCATCTTTCTATATCTGATAAATAAATGACCGGTAATATGGATAATAGAAAAAACTATATGCATCTCTTTTCTGTGTTTATAATTTATGTTGCTAAAGAGAATCCAAGCCAGCCATGGTGGTGCACACCTGTAATCCCAGAGGCTCAGAAGGCTGAGGCAGGAGGATCACGATTTCAAAAGCCAGCCTCAGCAACTTAACAAGAACCTAAGCAACTTAGCAAGACACTGTTYTCCAAATAAAATACAAAAAGGGTTGGGGATATGGCTCATTGGTTAAGTGCCTCTAGGTTCAATCCCTGGTACAAAAAAAAAGCAAATCCAAGCAAAATAAAATGATTTGAAAAGTTAAACATAAAATGTATCTCTTAGCTATCCAGGACTTTTGCTTTAATATCTCACTTCTATAAAAATAATTTGCTTCTTGAAGCCAAAAATAATAAAAAATATATGTAATACTTCATTTACATAATTGTCTAGCAAGTGCAGATTAATACATACTTACAATAATCAGATTAGTAGTTACCTGTGAGGGTAAGGATTAACTGGGAAGGGGCATGAAGGGACCTTATGAAGTAATGGAAATTTTATTTATTTACTTACTTTTGGTACCAGAGATTGAACCCAGGGTTCTTAACAGTGAGCCACATCCCCAGAYCTTTCTTATGTTATTTAAAGACAACATCTCACTAAGATGCTTAGGGCCTTACTAAGTTGCTAAGACTGGATTTGAACTGATGATCCGCCTGCCTCAGCTTCCCAAGCTGCTAGGATTATAAGCATGTTAAYGCTGCGCCAGGCCTATTTCTTGATCTTATTATAATAATATATACAAACATCAAGTTCAATCAAGCTGTACCTTTAATATTTATGCATATTACTGTGGAATGTTGTACCTCAATAAGAAGGTTTTAAAAAGTATGTTACAGACATCAGCTATGTAATCAAATAGACATAGAATCAAATGCATCTTTACATAAAATATTTTTGGAAACCTTTTAACCCTTTTTTACCTTTCTGAGTCTCAGTTATCTCACCTACAAAATAAATGTAACCTCTACTTCAAGGATTAGATGAGATAATATCTATAAGACTCTAAAGTGCCTGGAACACAGTAAGCATTCAATAAATTATAGCTGTTCTTATTTTTCTTAGCTAATTTTGAGGACTGTATTTATTTAACTAATATATTTCAAACTATATTACAGAAAATGGACTTTTTAAAATATGATAGAATTGATGAGGTGAAAATCAAAATGTTAGAGCTAATGGAAACTTAGAGATCATCTAATGAGTACAAAACCTTTTATTCAAGTAAGAATACTGAGATGCCAAGAGATTTGCCCAAGGTCACAGAGCTATTTAGTGGAAGATGCTGAAGTAGAATCTAGGTCTCTATCAGTCCAGAGTTGTTTCTAACATTCTAAATTTTGCATTTAATCCAAGGAGCTAGTGTTAACATTAGTATAAATACAGCATAACACATTAAGGAAAAATTCAGCCTTTTCATTAGACTCATTCTAAATCGAGATTTTTCTACAAATGTTATCTCAAAGCTTTTATAGGCTTAATACGAAATACATAAGGGCTGTATAAACTGAGGAGATAGAACTTCTGCTTACAGAAAAATGGAATACATGTACTTTCTCTATACCCACAAACTGTAAATAAAACCTCTGGATATTATATATAAAGTAAATATAAGAACACTGAAAATGGAAAGAAGGCAAACAGATTTAGGATCTCAGAACACAAGGAAGGGCAATGCAGTGAGTTCCTTGTGTTTTCTTTTCACTCCTTTCTACATGCATTTGAGAGTGGGTGCTAGAGAAACCAGCAGTCCTGAAATGCCAACAGAGCAAATATAAAAAGCCCAAAGAAAATCTTGATTCCTCTAACGATGGGACCAGGTAAGAGRTAGAAAAAGATAGAAACCTATTAGAAAATAATTGCTGAAAAAAAATCACAGATTAAAAACTATGACTTCTACATTTGCCGGGTTATAAAAAGTACCCCAAAACCTCTGCTGGGGTGATATCACCCCAGACTAGATTTGGCATCAGTACTTTTGCCAAAAAAATGTCACTGGAATCAGAATGGAAAATCTTAACTCCTTCCTGGCAGTACCAAGGCAGCAACCTCTCTCCCTGTTGGAACAGTGTCAGAGATAAACAGCTAAAAGAGATTTAAATAAGATCCAGAGTCTCATAATGCAAAACCCAACATGTCATTGAAAATCACTTAATAGAAAGCTATCAAACTGAAGGAAAAAAAGAYAATAGATGCCAACATGGGGATGAGAAAGAGAATGACAAATATTTAAAGTAACCATCATAAAAAACAAGCAATTATGATATTTTAAAACAAGTTAAAGAAATTGATAATCTCACAAAATAAATAGGGGATACAAAGAAGAACAGAA